GTGACCTAAAGGCTCTTATCAACATCCATGAGACAGGTCGGCCACGTAGCCTGCCCAAACAAGCAAAACTTCATTGTGGAGGAGGTGCCCACTTGGGCACTGGCTCAAAGCTCGCAACATTTTTTTCTCGTTTTAGAGCTTCTAACTGCAGAGCCCATTTTCGTATAGGTTCAAACTCTGTTGACTTGCAACTTCAGTACGCTTCTCATGGCTGACAACAGAGTGATAACAGTACCTACACCAAAGACAGTCGGCCCCTCTCTTACGACAACTTCAAACAAGACAATGCATGAAAGCATTGCATGCATTGTGAGTACAGCCACTGCATTCAAGAAAAAGCATACTTGGACGGATTCGTGCGATGGAAGATTAGTTGAGTTCAATGGTGCAACCTAAGCTAAGCTTTGCCGGCTACAGAGCGATAAAACACACTGCTGATTCTTAAATAAGAATTCTGTTTCTTCTTTAAAGCTGATGACATAAGGTACTCATGAATAATCTTTTTAAAGCAACATCAGATGAAATGACATGCCTGACATGTAAAATTTGCCTCAGGGCTTTTGCCTTTGTCTTTATGTCGACAAGTTATCAATATGCTTTACATAAAGCAGACCATTAGGTATAGTTATCATTCAGCACCACGGCTGGCAACCTTATCTCTCCCCTCCCTCTTGAAACATACACTGGATGTAGAAGACCACCAGACTACTTCTTCAACTCGGGTCAGCAACAGAGAAAACTGCATTTTCATAGCTACACCCATTGAGAAACCAATGGGAAAGAACAGACTCTCACACGTTATAGCTGAAGCAAATGCAAACGAGAGCACTCAATAATGCCAACTGAAAGTGAATTTGGAGCAGTCTTTGGAGCAACAAAGCTTTGATTTAGGAATAGAAAAATCTTGATTTGGAGCAGGAAGCGTCATGCACTTGAAATGTCATCTTAGGAACTTGGAAAAACAATTCAAAAGCAACTTGAAGAGACTAGCACACTCAGACTTCCTTATAACAATCTTGCATCTTACCGGAAAATAAGTTTACACATCTGAAAATTCCTTATAAACGTTACTTCTAACACTACAGTCGAACCTCGATATATCAAACAGCGCGGCGATCGCGAAATAGTTCGATATATCCAGAATTCGATATAAAAAAATCACGAAAAAAATGCGGCAACAGCTTGCTGAAAACAACCAACGAACCGTTCAAGCGTGGTGCAGTAAATACTCACTTGAAGATTCAAACATAGTATTTATTGTGTTGGTTTAAAATATTGAAAAAAAGAGTAGCTGCTTTTTGTTGGCCATGGCGTGTTTGACGAATGCGTCCTCAATATAGTCCAGGCGATCCATAAGTCATAGGCCGGTGCCTTCAATCGCGCCGCACTGGCGGCGCACAAGAACCAAGGCAGCTACGACCTCAGCTGATGTCGGGAGCTGGGCACCATCAGCGCTTGCGGGATCCACCTCGGCAGAGTCTTCATTTGGCCGCTCAGCAGTAGCTTCGGCGACAATCTCCACATCCGTGAGCTCCGCCGTTCGGAGTTAGGCCTGTCGCGCACCACAGCGCGCGACAGGCCTAACTCCAAACGCACGAACACAGCGAGCGATGCCTGCCGATGCTACGGGGGAGGAGCTTGCAACAAGTGCGCAGTGTGCTGTTGACACCATAGAGACTGCAACGACTGCAAGCTGCAAGGCTGCGGCGTGAGTCCGGGTTGTTGTTGTTAGTGGTTCATGAGGAAAAGGAAGAAGGCACCTAATTTCTGTCTGCCTACAGGCGACACGGCGCAGTGCCTTCCGGGTGTAAAGCGCGCACATGGCGCGCCCATGCCGGCTTGCCTGACTGCTTTCCCTTTTCCGGCGGCAGCGTGGGCCGTGTCCGAGACAGTCGTCTCCGTCCTTTCCCTCCTATACTTTCCTCCTTAATCTTTACCTCCCACTCCCCCTTCTCCCGCGCGAAGCCGTGTTGGAGCCTTCGTTTTGAAAGACGATAACAGCTCCGCGCTTTTCTCTTCTCTTTCCTCATTTAAGAACCTCTACCGCAAGGCTGAGGCGCGCTACGTTAAAGTGGCGCTCTCGGCGCCATCGATGTGTGCAGCATTCGTAAACGCCCGCCGCTCTACCGCTACTTTCGAGAGTTGCGGGAAAGCTCGCCGCCTGTCAATGGAGCGCGGGCGGTTTGGGGTGGCTGAGTTCGATATATCCATTATATGTCAAACTTTGTCCAAAATAAATCAATAATGCATGCGATTTCCCGCGTGATATAGGAACCGTTCGATATAGGCAATAATTCGATATATCTGTGTTCGATATATTGAGGTTTGACTGCACATCTGTTACACAACTATTGATTCACTTCATTACTACCGATATTTTGTTATATCCAAGTTTGTTATATAAAGGTCTAGTGTACAGATTTAAATCAGCTTAGAATACATATAACACTGTAAAAGCATTCTCCAAAAGCTTTTACACCGTTATGAGTATTCTAAGCTGATCAACAAATTATCGCTAGGCATGAACTACACTACCCAAAGTAACAAAACATAATAAATGAAAAAAAAAACATTGTGCGAAGCTAGGTTACCTTCATGAAACATTTGAAAAAAAAAAAGGACAAGCATAAATATTCTAAACAAAAGTGATTGCACAAGAATTGTAGTTATATACCAGGAGGCATATGCTAAGTGGACGCGAGTCGAAAAACTCGAGAGGAGTTCACTAAAGTCACACGCTCAAAATAACAATGATTGCCAAGCTCTCATAATGAAGAAAATCGTTTTAAAAACCTTATCTTTGCTACACAGATGAGCCTTCAGTTATACCTTTAAGATGTGTTTTTCTCAAGATCCAATTTTCAGCAACCTCCTTTGTTTGGACATCCTGTTTTTGGTAGTATTTCTTATAGCCAGATCAGGATAAAATTTTGCCAAATATTCCTTAACATGTGAAGAGTGCAAGTATATGTCTCTTCCAAAACATGATATCACCTATTCCATTATTATGAACCTAAAGTAAGCAATTAGTATGAGCTGAGCATTCTACAACTTCTGACACTACAAGTAATTTTGTCCTATTAAAATGTCTTACAGCCACTTTCTTGTTATTTATTTGTATTCTACAGTTAATGTGGAGCAATACGAGTCATTAATGGCCCAGAACCACAAAAAGTTAGTCACAGGAAAAGTGTCTCCAAATAGAACTATTATTTTACAGATTGTCAGAGTACCAAATAAAAACTATACAACTTCCTTTAAAACTGATTATATATTCGAAATCAGCATAAAAGCCAATGAATAAAGCACAAATTTCATAGCCCTAAGCTACAGACAGAAGTTTTTTTTTTTTTTCCGGAGTAACATATCCCCTAAGATTAGCACATTACTACTGTGGTGTTTTTTAGGTCTACTTATTCAGCGAAGCGTCAAGTGTACAGGATGATTTTATATTACAGCATCAGAACTGCATTGCACCATCGTTCATCATCAGCTGATGCGAACTGCTTTCACGAGTGTGGCATGGGGGCCCAGAAACCTCGTGTAGCCGACTATTGCGTTACAAGTGCGTAGCGCCGTTGTAAGCATACTGCATGCTTTCATCAGGGAACACCAAAAAGCCACTTCGCATCTCCTCATACAAAAGTGCTAGAGCATCTCAGAGATGCAAGATGCCAGTCAAATCGACACAACAAAGCACTCTTCTCATCTGTGCACAGCAAGCATGCATGTAGGTGACCACACACAACAGCACACAAACCAGGAACACAGCGAGTAAAAGCAGCACATTTTAAGGGTCCTGCATATTTGCAATAGCCAGAGGAGATAACAGCAAACACATCATTCATTAGAAAGGTGCATTAAACAAATGTGCTTGAACGTGTCTATTCGTTCGGCAAGTGTCTTTTTATTGGTATCCCTAGTGCTACTTCGAATATACAGTCTCACACTGATGCTGACGTGGGTATATCTGCTTCCGAAGCTGTTTTGGAGCCTATTGGCCCCATCTATTGCAATCTTTATGCTTTCCGTGCAGGAAAATGGGATTTTATCAAATATGACCGATATGTGCATCTGCCTCACGCCGGTGCCAAGAGGATGTTATCAGTAGTAAATATAATAAGTAAAAAGGATGAAAACACAATTTTCTCCCAGCAGAGCCTACCACTTTCGAATCACAAGCGTCTTACTGAGTCATCTGTCCACTTCATTGGGTGTGCATTCAGCTACGGGAGTGCTGGCCAGCACGCACTGTAGCTGTGGCAGCGAGTGAGGAAAAAGAACGCCAGCAGAAAAACAGCATCGCTACTATGGCATCCAACTACTACTCCCGGGATTAAAAGCACAGCCAATGAAGTGGACAGAAGCAAATGCAGCTATATAAAATGTCCCCACAGAGAAGCACTGAAAGACACTTCAGCTCTCCTCATGTGAAACCTGGGGAGGATGCAGTCCTCCGCTTTTATTTGTTAACTTGCACACTGCTAATCTAATCACTACAAGAAAAACCTACCACTGGTGCTTCATAGCAGGTCAAGATTCGGTGCCTGTATAACAGTTGCTCAGCACGTTGTCTCTCGTGGGTGAGGGAATGTTTCCGTAGGGCAACATTCACTCTCTCTCGAAAAGCACTTCAGCGCTTGCCGACAGAAGGCTGTCTTGCACTCACGACAGCAGCAGCAAGGTGAACGACGAGGATCGCACGCTCAGACCCTAAATGTGGGTGTTGGTCGAGCCAAGAACAGTAACAAGGAGTGTGTACAGACAAGCCCTCCCACCAGAGATAAAAGCACAGAGTCAGAGTGCACTGCGACAACCAGGCTGCTGTACCCTGTGAACAAAGAGTTGTGCCGGAGAAAACATGTTCTCTAGATCTACCAAGCATAGTATTCCGACATGGCACCTAGCTGGTGATATGTGAAACTGTATCACACGCTGACCAGGAGTGAAGTAAGCATCCTACACCAGTGCCTTTACAGCCTGCATGCATCACCACTCACTTGGCCTTGTACTCGACAGCCTGCTCTCGATAGAAAGCCAGCTCTTCCTGCAGGCTCTTGAAGGAGGCGCCTTCCATTGTGGTGGTGGCAGCTGAGCAAAGCAATCACAGCCTTGCCCTCATCTCCATCCTGAAAAGAACAATCAGCATGCCTTATTGTTGCTACTGCAAAGGTATATTTGTCATCGGCAGGCTTGTGCGAACATTCGAGCACTTGGAATATTAAAATGAACGAGCACCCCGCCGTGATGGCATTGACTGAATAAAGTTCCTTCATTCATGTCTTCAATAAAGAAGATGAAAATCCAAACAGACTTTCATTCCTATCCTGTGTAACTTGCATGTGCATGTTTTTTTCTGTTTTTTTTTTCTTTAGCCATTTATTTATTTATTTCAGGGCATTACAGAGGGGAGCCGGTAAACTTGTATTACAACACACATAAAAAAGTAAGAACTTGGAGAGTTACTAGATACAATGAAGGAAATGAATATAAAGAGCACATACTAAAAGAACAAAAATGTTGATAAAGAACGCAAAGCATAACAAGGTTCGCCATAACAATGAATCAATGTGAACAAAACACTCCAGCACAAACATGTGCCTATGAACCAAAGAATGCATCTTTGAAGCAGCATGTCAGAATATTGGCGTGTTTGAAACAGGAAAAAGAAGGGCTACTTATAAATTAAAGTACGATAATCCAACAGAAAATATATAATCTTAAAAACAACAGGTCAGTTAAAACAGCCTTAAGGAGGAAATGAGATTTAAAAAAAAAAAGTTGCGTTAATCTGTAGCCTTGGGCAATACAATTTTTTACTGTATATAAAGGGTGTTTAAAATCAATGTTTTTTAGTTTTCTTAGAAGTCAGAACTGGAAAGAACACAAAAACTGCCTTTGTATTGAGACAATAATTACTGTCAGTCAACCAATTAACTAAGGTTTAAGAGTAAACTTTTTAGCGACTGCAGCAAATGGGCGCGTTCGAACTGAAAAAGTGGAGGCAGCCACATTTATGCAATGTTTCCCTCGCAAGAATTTTATAAAAAGTCTATCCTCAGAGATATCCTGCTGCAATGCTTAATTGTGGTTTACACGATTGCGCATGCATGACAGCCAGCACTGGGGCAAAGCTCCGCCCCAATGTGCCGTGGCAATTACGTGCATCGTTTAACGTGACAATGGGTCACAGGCAAAGATCATGAAAATGGTTATGGGTGGTGATAATCAAGCAATGACTGTTCATCCCATTGCGCCCTGCATGCATAATCATAAAAATGACAAACTTGTTGCGCAAGATATCTCGGAGCACCGACATGTTAGAAAAATTCTTCCAAGTGGAACAGTACCTAAGGGTGACTCAATTCAAACATGCCCACTTGCTGCAGTCACTGAAAAGTTTATCACCTCTTTCCATGAGCCACCTCACTCCACATAGGTTGGCGTTCCAATATAAGCATCCAAGCATATTTCTCTGCATTCTTGCACATTGTATTAAAGAAAAGAACAATATCGCGCTTTCCTCAAATGCTTTGCGCTGCTCCATAGTCAAGGTCAAGATATGCTCCGGTGACCTTCTTGTCGTGATCGAGAAGCTCTGCAGGCAGCGCCAGCACACAGCGTGCCAGCGATGTGTGGACCTCACACGTAACCAACATTGTGCACAAAGGTCAGCAACTATGCACTTGCGGAGGTGGAGACAACTTCAGGCCGTATACAGAACAAATCCAAGAACAGCTGTGCATGTCTCATGCTGACACAAAACATTGTCGCCATAATACTTCAAGCCGAGGTGCTGTCATCCTCGGACTCTAAGCTCCTCCTTACTCAATTGAGATGTGGTTGCAAGACAGTTTTGAGCGGTGCGCGTTTTCGGCAACGCAGGTGCACACCCATGAGGACGTGACGCCTACACTGTAAGAGTGATTAGTGATACTAGTAGCGGCTTTGTGTGTGATATAATGATACAAGCGAAACCAAAGCTGCTGGAAATTGACTGAGACGGCGACCTCTACAGTAACACATGCGGCAGATGTTCGGAAATATTTTTTTGTAGAATAAGTCTTCCCAGACTCTTATCAATAGTTCTTTATTGAATAGCTGGCACAAATTTCTGGCAATTATTGCTGCTCAACAATGCCAGATGGCAAAGTGGACACCTTTAATTAATGTTCGACTTGCACAGATTCTTTTGATTACAGAACTTTGATGTTACTCTAGCATAACCACGAGGGGCACGCACTTTTGTTGAGCTCACCAACCAAGTGCATTTTCCCTGCAACAAGCGCACAATGGTTGGCGCAGAGGTTTGTCATAAAACACTACGTTGCCAAAACGGGCAAATTTAAATTCATTCTGAAAGTTGAGTGGCTGGACCAATTACTAGAAACTGCTGAACGCACAAGAAACAAATTCAACACGGCAAAATCGACTGTAAAGATCACCGGCAATCAATACGAATAGGCGTGGTAACGAAGGAGCTAGGAGGAGTGAAATGTCATGCCGGTGAGTATGATAGAAGCTTCACGCAGACCAGCATAACAAGGCACAGATTTGAGGTAAAGCTCGAGGTGAACATCCGATTTGTTTTCATTACAAATGCAATGTCTAAATCACTGCTTGTTTTTTCTGAAGCCAACGGTTGCCGCATTGCTGTTTCTGAAAATAATTTAAAATGTGCGACCGAACTTCTCTTGCATGGCGGTCGAACCAAACCAACACATGCTGAGACTACGATAACCAGTGTCAACACAATAGAGCGCATCCAATGAGTGCCGCTATCGCAGAACAAAAACTTGAAAACATGAAGCAACACATTAACTCTCACAATGTCGAAGCGGCTCGTCTGTCCTAACGCACGGCAGCGATCCACTGCTTCCGTCGCTCTTTCTCATAAGGCTTTCAGTAAATGAGTAAAAAAAATTGTACTGCGGGCGAGTTTTTGCAGGTTTTGAGCACCCCACCTCCGAGCAATTCATAGACATCCCTAGAAGTTTCAGCCACCACAGATATGAGGAACGTTGCTATTTTCTAATAGCAACGCAAACAACGCAGTACCACACGTACAATGGTGGGAATGCCTTCCAGCATTTCGGAGCAGTCATTGGAGAAGGCATAGTCTGCTTCTGGAGCAGCTACCTCAGTGCTTGGAGTATGCACAGGCTTTTTCTGATACAAAGGAAGAAAACTTGGCTTTCATTTAGCTTAATGTTCCCTCTGTTTATGTAATCATTTATATAGAAGAAGCAAGCCGACAAAATAGGCACAAAAAATAAAAGCTGGATCATATACAAAAGCGGTGACATAAAACAGTGAAGGATATTGCACCAACAATTAGGCTACCTGCATGCCTATGCACCCCCTCCAGACACGCTAGAAGCTTTCTACAGTAAAATCTCGTTAATACGTACAAATGCGCTGAGAATGCTGCTAACTGCGCCCTAAACATAGTATGCAATAACTGCCGAGTATTCATTTGCAACTCTAGGTGCACCATCGCTGCTAAAAAAGGAATAAATACAATGCCACAGCAAATATTGCCTAAAGTGCCCACCACACAGCAATTTCTTTTCATTCGCCAAATTTCAGAAATGATTGGCCTTCTTGCACCGCCGTCCGATGACATGCGGTGATGACATCAAGGAGCATATCGGAACTACTGCGGAGTCCAGGATATGCAGTCGATGCAGTGACCGACATAACGACGAAACAGACATAAGCGTCTGTCCGCAATAAATGTGTGCCTTGATCTGCTACTTAGCGAAAACAGACACAGCTTTTTTGAGACGCGGCACGGTCACAAGGAGCCGGTAGTCTACTGGCTAGTAGCGTGCAGTGCTTCACTTATTTGGCGTACCAAGCCGCTTGCGCCCACTCCGCTTCAGACAGCGCACAGATGCAGCGAGAAAGCTATTATGTTGACACGATGATGTGAGCTTTCTGCAAGCGATGCTCTAGTGATTCTGGCTATGGACTGAGGCGCGTTTGGGTTGTCGCCCTATGAAAGCATGCAGTGTGGCTACCAGCCCTACACTTGCTGTCTCGGTGCCCGCGATCCACAATGTTCAACTCTGCAACGGCGAGCTACTTTCATTTTTTTTAAGGCGGTGCACGCTAAACACGGTACCATATAACACTCGAGGCGGCAGCTATCGACGTGCTCAGGCGTGCCAGCTATTACAAGTGGGCAGTAGGCTTAAAGCAGCGCGGTGCCTCACACGTAGGGTTTTATCCCTAATGTCATACTGGTGCACTTTTCGATATTCGCCACATCACCTTCGTTCTTTACCAGGGTTCACCAGAAAAGGCACCACCTCAATCACACGGAAGGGTGAATTGTTGATCGGCCGATTCCGTGCGCTTCCAGTTGCACAACTGCACGCAAATGTAGCAGCACAAGTGTACAAGATGGCGACAGTCACGTAATATTCACTCATATGCATGCTGTCAACATTACTTCCAGTTACAAAACAACCTTGTGGCACAGCTATGGCACAAACAAGACAAAAATTACTTTTTTGAAGCCTTATGGCGCAGTAATTTCCGATTCGGAGCAGGTTGGCGCAGGTTTCCCACCACTGCGCCACGTATTACGACGCAATTAACAACTGCGGTCGTCTGCCAACTTTCCCAAGAGTGATAAGCAAGTTCCGCTTCCGTAGGCGAGCAATAGACGAATAAGTAAACACTCGCACAACGACTTATTCAACAGGTGTGTGTCCGCACCGTACAAATTGTTTACACTGTTTACTCTTTCCCCCACGCGGGTGCCTGGCCGAAAACAGAGGCAGCGGACAAAGGATCGTGGGGTTCACATAGGCGCGAGTGGGGCAAGATGGGTTAATGGGTCGTCGAAGCCGTCGTATTTTGTACTCAAATTCCTTTTTACAGGCCCTCTGTGTATAGAGTGCCTTGTTTTGTTTGGCTCGGCAATTCATCTAGGCAGACACCATTGTGCGTAGGCCGGTCTACTCGGGAGGCTTTCAACTTATTGGCGCCCAGTCTGCAAGACGCTGTCCTGTAGACGTTCCAAGAAGCAGTCGGGTCTCAACGAAAGCTTCGCGAGCAAGCCTTTTGTTGAACGGGCTCGAACAGCGGGGGGGACGGCGCCACTGTGGGGGGTCTCATT